TAATTACTTTGTGAATGTAACCATCATCTAAAAAAACTACCAAAATGCTTTAGCATTTAGTCTAGCAGTCATTTCCCTAGCTTGTGTCAGATATAACCATCAGACAGTGCAAAAGAACTGTCACTTTTAATAAGAGGCAAAAAATTAAATGAAACAGTATGCTTATTACAGGAAAATTAGGCGTTCAAGTGGTAGAGTCCTTTTCTGCTATTTGCATAATTTATTCTTTTTTGTCCCTCACACCAGAAGCTTCAGGCAATTTTCTTCACATTTAAATAGATCGCACATTTAAGGCTACTTAAGGAAAATTATCACTTTGCATATTTTAATTGTTGTAAAGAAAGTGAATAGAAGAGGTCTGCAGCTTGGACTCTTGAGTCGGTCAGATGCTCAACTGTCTGATTCTGGAGCTCCCCACTGCTGCACTAGAGATAACCCTATAGTTCACAGCCATCTACTTGCATTTCATCAGCATGCAAATGCAGCTCCAAGCACTACAATAAGTGGATCTTTGATATTTACAAACTAGCCACTAATAACTAAAACGTAATTTGTTTGACATAACTTTAGATTCTCTTATCACTGTGCCTTTTTTTTCTTTTTAAGAGAAAAGCCTGATAAGTCCTTCAGTTTTAGAAAAACTAAGAGACAGTCTATTCAAACTGGATAATGTTCTATAGGTTCTAGAAAATGATTTGCTGCAAAATCATGTCAGTCCCTTTATTTCATCAGGTCAACCAACATTTCACGTTCTTTTGTTTAATTTGGACTCACCTTTAATGAAATAAAAATTTAAATATAAATTACAATAAAAACTCTTTCCCCCATAAGAATTATATCAGGCCAATGGTGTGTCAAATAAATGATTCAGTTACCAAGGGAAGGATGTTTCAGTATGCTTGTGTTGTAATTCAAAAAGATGAGAGCAACAGCACAGGGCATTGAAGAGCAAATACTGTAAATAGGCTAATGCCTGTACAAAGTGTTAATTATGAAACTGGTGAAAAGTTAAAGGAGATTCCAATGAAAACTTTGATCAAACCATACTTGGCTTATTTATTGTACTTAAGTGGGTTAAAGAACCTCAGTGGTATAATTTGCTTAGTTTTCATTACTAATTAGAAAAAAAAAAATTCCAAAGAGACAGAAAACTGAAGTCTTCATTCTGACAAGACAGCAATGCTTTAAAGTATATTAAGATGTGAATCTGATTAACTCAGCAACACTTTTGTTTAATTACAAACAATTATATGTTCCCTTTGGCTACTGGTCATTTTCATTTACAATGTCATTGTCCTCCTTAAGTGCAAACTCTAAACACTAATGAATGTCTGTGGGACTACAGTTAGCATACATTTGTAGACACTAAGCAAACATTTGTCTTTAAAAGTAAGTGAAGTAGGACTTTGTTTATAAAAACTATCACTGTATGGCAAAGTAATATAAAACAGCACATTATAGAGACTGACAAAATGTGAGTGTAAGATATGGACTTGTATTTTGGAAAGGATCCTACTATCTTTTGACTTGATGTGACTTTCAGTACAATCCTTATTTTTTGAACTTTGAAATGTAGTACAGCATTATTTGAAAAGGCAATAAAAAGAGTTTTTTAATTACCTTCAGGGCAATGTTTTCCAAATGTATATTTTTGTTTATTAATTTTTCTTATAATAGGTAATGGCAAAAGTTAAATAATTCTAAAAAAGCTAGGAATTTTTGAAAATATTTTTACAATTTCCAAGAGGTAATATGCAGCTGAAGTCATATCTGATTCTGCCATATTGAGTGGAAATGAAACAAGTTATTTCTGGCAGCATTCTTTGTATCACTGAGTACTTGGTTAAATCAATTGACTCAAAACTTCCCATTTTGATTTTTTCTATTCCTTTTTTTTTTTGGAGGTGAGATTTAACTTTGCTGCTTTAACACACATTTAAAAGGAATACCGCACATATTTTTTGCTCTGCTAGCCATTCATGCTCCCCCATTTCCCACCACTGCCAAAATGACAACAGCCAGAGAAACAACTGACTTCTCAACATATTTGAATATATCAGAGATGCAGATTTATGAACATAATATTCTCTGTTTAACTTGAATATAGAATTGCTTTTGCAATTGGAAATTGAAGAATATCTCTATTTCAGGTAACATATCTCAGATAGTAAGTTTCTTGAAAGCAGAAATAAAGTATCTCCTTACAAGGCAATTTATACTTTTAGCAGCACTTTATAATGAAGGAAGGCATGATGATAGTTGAAGATGAGGGAGAAATTTGAAAATTATATTTCTTCTGAGCAGTTGTAAATAGTTCTTTTATCTTCATACTATTCATTTAAAAAGGTTGCTTCCTTCTAGGAAATGGAGATAATAGTAATGTACCTAACATGAGTAATATGGTAGGAGATAATTGCAAGTAAAGTTGGCATTCTACTGTGTATGATACAGCCAATGTAGACTGTTATCACTAAAGTTAAAAAAAAAGAAAGAAAATCAGACAATCAAATTACACAATTTAATTAAGAATATCATTGGTCAAAACTGAAGTCCAACAAGTTTGGCAGCCCATATAGTATATACGTCACTCTCAACTTTCAAGGACAACTATAATGGCTTCTGAAGAGTGCCTAACAGTAGTCTCAGTGTCTAATCACTGTGACATACATATTAGGTCAATTGAGACTTTAGGCAATATGAGAATAATGTGAAGAATACAGCCTTTTGAGTCAGTAGAATTGAGTTAAAATTCTTACTTCACCATATACTATCTCTTGCATTTTGGATAATTTACTAAATTTGCTAAACTTCAGTTTTCTCCTCTGCAAAATGAACATCTACCTCGCAGGACTGACTGCTGAAAAGATTCAATGAGGTAAATAAAGCTTTATCACTGTGCCAAGACCCTTGTAAATGTGTGGAAATAGTAATTGCTGTTCTTTTTACTACAACTATGGCATAGTATATTCACCTCTTAATTTACATACCTGTGAGTATAGAACTCACATATTACCTGAACATCTTTCCTTAATAGGAATACTTTGAGATATGAAAGTCATGTTTTTTAAATGACATAAACTCAAATTCATTATGTCTATATATTTATGTAGAAAGAGTCATATTTACTAATGCATCTTTGTAGTGTAAGTGTAATCCATATTTTCATACAGGAAGTTTATCATTTATTAGACTCTAAATCATGTTTTTCTTAGCATCATCATAAGACATTATAGTGCTAACAGTATTACCTATTTTTCTTTTTGCTGGCTTGTTAATTTTAATTTGACTTTTTTTCCTAAAAATAATTAGACTTTCATGTATTGAGAATGGATGTCTATAAACAATAGCACTTAGCCTTAAAATTTTGGATCCCCAATTGAAGATATTTGTTTACTGGATTTAGCATTCTCAAGACCTAAAATTTTGTTCAACTGTCATTGACATATAACCAAACTCTTTGATATTCTATAGATGAGAGAATAGCTTGGAAGATCCCCATTACAACTGCACTTACCAAAACATTTGAAAGGAGCATTTAATTATAACTAATACTCCTCTTTTACTCATAACCCCCTCCAATGTTGTTCACTGTTACAGTAAGCAGTCTCATTGGGTTGTTACTCTGAAGATATCCAACATATTTTTACTAGTTTGGTTTTAGGAAAAATAAAAAAATTGACCTATTATATGATAAATAATAATAAAACACCATTTACTCACTGATACCTGTGAAGTCCATTTAGTTCATTTGTTCTTTCTGACCTTTTTCACTCTGCCTCTCCTACTTCCTTCAACCTTGTTTAAAGGCCAAAACTTTACAAAACACCAGGAAGAGTAAATAAAATATAAAGTGTCAGGAATGTGATGACTCCACCTACCTTAATTGGTATCAATGACATTTATCAGTATATTAGGTCAACTGGGATTTTAGACAGTATAGTGTTCACTCATACAACATTTTTGAGAGTATTCCTACTTAAGAATTTTATCCTTTAGGATATCCTTACCTGATATTCCAACCCTATTTATCAGAGGATAAGTATGTTTTCTGAAAATAAAATAGATTGTACAAATTTAGATCCTTCAACTTTGCCAGTCAAATAGAGAACAAGTAATTGAAACTGTTCAGCTTTGGTCAGGAAAGCAACTAGCATTAGGTGATAACATAAATGTCACTGTCAGAAAGAGGTTAAATTATTTTTTAGTTTCAATGGTTGGGAAAGAAATTTTGTCGTTTTGGTTGTTAACATAAATATCACTTACTGAAAACTTAAATTTAATTACTATAGTAAGGTATTTCATTAATAACCCAGGCTCAACTTAATTTATTTAACTAGCAAGCACCAGAGTCCTTGTAGATATAACAAAACCAGGTTAGCTTGAAAGAGTTGGTAGAAATGATTTTCTAAGGCTCAAGATTACTGCCCTATGAATGATGTCTCTTTATTTCCTCCTATTTATACAACTATGTAGATAAAATGTGTTAAATGGAACTGAGAGAATATTTGGTTTCCAAATACAACTTGTATGTATATAGATGAAGTCTTAAACTTTTTCCTGGAATTATCAGAAAAATTTGGTAAGTGTTAAATGATATGATGGCCTAATAAATTATTTTAATATAATGTAAATGCAAATATTATCATTATAGTACTTTATTAGTTGTGCTGTATTTTCATAATTTTTTTTACTTGTAATTTTTTACTAAAAATTAACTGGAATTGAAGGAAGGGTAAGGGGAAAAAAGAGGGTCTAAACTATGTATGTATCATCTTATCACATCAGTGACTTTTATTTATTTTTATAACATTTACCAACATTTAGTAAAGATCCTTGTTTCAAACTGAGTTGTACAACATTCAGTGGCAAAGTCAATTGGAATCTAAACTTTTCTGCTTAAGTAATCGTTTACAGCTAACTAAGAAGGTATGTCTAACAATGATTTAAAAGTAATTAAAATGATGTTTATAGTACTGCTTCTCTTTACTTTCAATTTTTAGGTGGTAGCTAAATCACTTGAAGCTCACTGAGAGAAGGAACAAGAAGATGACTCAGCCCCAGATATTTTCTTGAATTTCCCATAGAATTGGAGGTCTGCAACAAAAACTTTTACACGCTAGGTCAGTGGTCCTCAAGCCAGCATATTTGGCCTCATCTGTGAATCTGAGAGAAATGTAAATAGATGAGTCCTACTCTACGTACTAAATCAGAATCTCTAGGGGTGAGGCCCAGGAAATTTTGTTTTAACAAGTTCTCCAGTTGATTTTTATGCATGTTAAAGTTTGAGAACCACTGCCCTAGGCCAAGGATATGTAAATAAAGGAGACAGACATTAAGTATTTTAAGGGTATCTAATACTGGAACAGTGAGCATTATGTAGCTATCTTCTACTATCTTCAGTCAATGGCAAGCAGCCATTTGCTTCATATCTTACAATGTTCTTAGAGAATTCTGCAGCATCTCATTGATAGTTTAAAAGAACATAAAGTGTGTTATGTGCATGTAAGTGAAGTCAGGAATGGGAATAAGTAGATATAGAAAGAGAACCCCCCCAAAAAAGTCTTGCAAATATGTTGAGAAAAAACTGGTATGACCTGGGAATTTAATTTTTGGATAATTTCCAGTTATTACAATTTAATAGCTTTAATTTGAAAATAATAAAGTATAATGATCAGTTAAAAACTGTGTTGTAAACCATATTAATAGGATGAGACAAAAATGAAGATTTTAATATGACTTGTTTTTGAGAGTATTTGATGTAATAGCAAGCATTATGATTAATATCTGTACCACTTTTCAATATGTTCAAATGATATGGAATATTTAGTTGTCTTTGTGCAGAAGCTAATAACAGTCATTGTGCAATATGAGAAACCATTTATTCTGTTCATGTATCAAACAAGGAAAAGCAGACAATAAGAATACAGAGAGCAAAAGTAGAAACTGTACTACCTTTTAAAATACTCCCACAGCAGGCTTAGCAAATGATGACATTGCTGCTTAATCCAAAATTATTCCTTTGCTACTTCCTGAACTTCAGAAGTATTCATAATCTGAAATCAAGATTTCCTTGTGCTCTTACACTTGCTATAGCCTCATATCACTCACTAATTTTGTGAGTTAATTCTTCACTATTATCATCTAAAACAGTTGTCTTAGAACTAAAGATTGTGTTTGCGGTCTTGGTCTTTTGTAGGTATCTTTAAAGAGCTATTGAATTTGTTTTATTTCTGATTCAAAGTACAAAATGCCTATGCACAACTTTTCAGATGCAATGTAAACTAAATTCCTAGTTGTCAGATTCCATGTCTCTGAAATGTAGTGGACAGAGACAGAATCAGAGAATCTGCTTATATAAACAATATGTTTGGGTTTTGATTTTTATTTTAAAGCATAACATAGCAAAGAAGTAAATTCCATAAAACTCTGGTAGAGCACAAACACCAGTGGAGATAGCAAATGGAGAAGAGGTTAAACCATATTTCCTTTCCTTGTAAATATTTGAAAGCAGTTAATTTTATAAGTTCGGAATAGTTGCTCTATATCCACAATAAAAACATGTCAGTATTTTATGTGAATTCCTTAGAGTTAAACATACAGGCTGTGCTCATGGCCTGGGGGCCCAGGAATTCCAAGCACTGAAGATGCTAGTCTTTTTACCTTTAGCTTGGGATTTAAGAGAAGGAAGTATTGAAGTCCCCCTGAAGTGAATAAGAAAAATGGAGATTTCCTTAAAAAGGTAACTCCACAAAAGTAAACGCACACAAAAGGAAACACACACATACACACACACGTGCACAGTGCACATGCATACATCCACACATTAACACAAAAGAAACCTTCAATTCCTGGATACATGTTTTTAAGTTTTTGCAAAAAATCTAAATAAGACTGCCTTTTCTGCGTGCAGGAACTTAACATTCTCTGATTTCAAGTTAAAATTTAAGGATATTTAAAAACAAAACAATCATAGTGAACCAAAGTTACTATTATGACAGTGTGAGGCACTTTTGAATTGTAGGTGTCACTCACATTCATCGTGAAAACATGGTCTACACCCCTACCAGCATCTTTCCTATGCAAATGACTGCAGATTGAAACACTCATCAATAGGTGCTATAGTCTGCAAATAGTTTCCTTGTCGGCTTGGCAACTGTGACTCATGCTGTCCGACAAGTGAAAAGAAAACCGCAGTCAGC